AACCAAATGAGCTGTATGCACATAGCCACATCCTAATGGAATCACTGCTGGCTCCTGCAGAGGGGGAGGCAGGAAAGGGACAGCTGGATGGGGAAGAAACAAATCAATATGGATCACTGGAAACTGATTTAGAGCACTGGGCTCACTCAGACTTCTCTTGCATTTTCCCTTGATTAGGCTGGCAGGAAGTGAAGGTGGAAATGTTCAAACCTGACTTTAGCCTTCCATGCTGCACTTAGGCTGCACTCCTGTGTTGGACTCCCTTTCCTTGCACTTGTGCAGGTCAGGCAGACCTCTGGCAGCTGGGACCTGCCCACAGGGGTGCAGAGGGTGTCCTCTGGCAGCTGACATCCCTGGGCAAGCCTGACCACAACACAATTTCATTTGAGTAAATTAGCTGGTGATGGTGCTCAACAGCCTGGTTACAGCAAATGAGGAATCTGCAAGGAAGTAGGATTAGTATCAAGGAAAGGAAATACACTTGCTTTTACAATGCATTTCTCCTTCCATTAAGAAGCTATGATGTTAGACAGAGAAAAATCAGAATGCCTGCCTGCCTGTAACTGCTAGAGAATATAAGTTGAAAAAAAGACTGGGGGGACAAGGGAGAGAAAGGGTAAAAAGAAAATTCCAGAAACATAATTCAAACACCTGTAGTCAAAAAGCAAGGTCTCAAGAAAGGCCCTGGGGTCAATATAACACAGAATGGAAAGACTACAGAGTTTGGAACTCTCCCTGTGACTTAAATTACAGATAGTTTCCAAGAGTTTCCTAAATGAAATTTGTCTAAGGAGAAAATATTGGTGTCAGTGAGGGGAAAAACTCTGATTCACAGAAAATGGAAAAGAGAAAGGCAGCCTCAACCAGGAGGCAGTCATCAATCTATTGCTGAGACAGTCTTGGCAAAAGCCATCCTCCTGGTAGAACTTGCCTGGAGTAGAGCAGATTGATTTGACAGTCTCTTAGCCTAATAAATGCTTGACCCCAAGGTCTGCTGAATTCACTAAATCCACTATGCAGAGAGAATTGGGAACCAATCACCTCTGGGGAGCATCCTGCTCCTCAGCCCTCCCCTGCTGAAGGCCTTGACTGCTCTCAGCCTCGTGGAGATGAGGAGATGGAAGCTGCTCTCTCAGGAAGAAAGGTTAATCGACTGCACTGCTGCTCATCAATCACCTGGAGCATGCAGCACTTACAATAGGTAGGTCTCTCTTCCCACCAACAGGATCCTGCATCTTAACCAAGCACCATCTCCTCCAGCTGGAAGGATGAGTAATAGGCAGGAGCAGAGTCCAGAGAGATGGCAGGTGTCTGATCCAGAGCCAGCTGAAGTCAATAGAAAGACTCCTGGTGAGTTCACTGGGCTTGGACCAGACCCCAAAGAAAGACTTATTACCCAGGGTTTGTTCTGCATACATGCATCAAGCTACTTTCAGCAGTGAAAGATCCTTGAAAAGAAGCAGATTCATCACACACTTGTGCCTCCCTGTGAAACCAAACTTCTACAAACCATACTGTGTCCCAGTCACCCTGACTGTCAGATAAGGCTGACATCCAGCAAAGGAAAATTACCTGCCTGTGACAGCACGCACAGACACCTAGACATTTCAAAATCTCCAAGGAGCACAACAAGAAAAAAAGCCAAAGTGCTAATATTTTCCTGGCCTTTTTTGTAATTGCTGCTAGCCAAAATGAGAGCTTCCTCAGAAGAGGAAAACTAGAACAATTCCTGAAAGGACAAAAGAGAACTGAGGGAGTAAAATTTAAAATACCCTGGCATGGAGGAGAACGAGCTCAGTGCTGAACCACCAGCAAGGTGAAGCTGACAGAGCCTGAGAGAAAAAATACCAGGAGAAAACCCAGAGTTAGAGAGCAGCCCTGAAGACTTACCTCTGTAAATTACCAGCTGCATTTAGCATCAGCACCAACTGATGACACAGCAGTCGTCATGCATCCTGTGCTTGATGGGTCCAAATGGCAGGAGGAAGCCTTAGCCTGCTGTGACAAATCAGGCCCCTGTATCCCAGTGCAGAATCACTTAGAAACACACCTCCTGCACCACACAGCCAAAAACCACGTGGCAAAGAGCTGAAACCAAGACTCACACCTTTGGAGCATCCATGGCTACAGGTACCAGCTCAGAGGTTATCCCAGAGGATGCACAAGATTTGCTCCTTCACAGAATCTTTACTAGTCTTACCCAAAGCAGAGTCCTGGATGAACTTCCACTGCCATCCACTCCTTTTGCTGCCAGAAGTCTGCTCAAATCCTGGAAACAAAGCTGTTGGCTTGGGATTTCTGCTTTTGCAATAACCCAGTTTCTATTAAGAGGCAGAGACATGACAGCCTGGTGCCATGCACCTCCTGCTGCAGCTAATGAAGAGGTGCCAGGCCCTCCAGAAGGCTGGAGAACAACACAGATACAGTGGCTGTTCTCTGCTCACCTGAAAATTCATGGCACTACAGAGCATCTGAGGCTGTGGGATTTCCTCCTTATGCAGGGACAACAAGCAAGAGATCAGTGAAACACAATAATCCAAGGTGTGCTACACACACCATTTCCGTGTGCTCCAAGAATTGCTTTTCTTCCAAGGACAGCCATCTCAAAAGCTCTTTGCCAGCAGACAGCTGTGGTTGTCAAAACCAATTTCCTTGTGTTCTCACTGCTAGCTGAAAAAAAACCCACAAGACAGACCCTGCATCTACATCCAGAAGTAAGGACTAATATTTGGTGACCTTTCTTCCTCTGGCTCAGTTGATAAAGTAAGCAGCACTGCAAGCAAAGTGAGGCAGATATCATTAAGGAGTGAAGGTACCTGTCTATTTCATATAGGAATTCCACATACAGAAAAAGAACTAGATTTAAGAGATACAGCAGCTTCTTCCCCAGCAAAGACTTTACTATAGAAGCCTTATAAATGTGAAGATTTTGGCCAAGATCTGTGTCATGCTTGTTGCATCAAAATGCAGACAGTGCTCTGCTGTAAGAGCCTTGGATTTGTTCACCTATTTTGTTTGTCTATCAATTTTTTCTAACCTTTGTATCAAAATAATGTCCAAAGTTACCAACCTGTTAAGATAAATGGGGATGCTGACCCTCTCCAGGTGTTGTAACTGAGGATGCAGATTCATGCAAAGTGTGCTTTATTTTCTCATGTCTGAAAGCAGATTTTGCAGCCATAGCTGCTGGTTTGGAAGAAGACTCTGTTATTATCTATATAGCTGCTGGTTTGGAAGAAGACTCTGTTATTATCTATATAGCTGCATGCAGCACCACCAGCAGGTGCTGCAGTGTTTGTCATCCCACTGGCATGCACTGAACCCCCTGCCCTGCCAGTGCTGGATCCTGCTGCAGCCACAAAACTGACAGGAGATCCACAAGAAAACTGATCTGTTCCACCTACTGACTGTTCATGTTTTAACCTACTGACTGTTCATTTTTTAACCCAGAGTGGGTGAGCATGAGACACCTGCAGCTCGGTGCTAATGACCAAGCAAAAAGGCTCCTGCCTGGGCAATTCTTCCTTGTGTCATTTGGAAGAGGATCCCACAAGGCTTAAATTTGGTCACAGTGACCTACAACACCTAAAGAGAAAATCCCTTCTGCCTGAAAGGAGTGAGAGATGGATGGCAGAGAAACAGAAGGGAACTCTCAGTGCTCCACTGACCCAGCTGACATCTGATGAATGGGCTGCAATATGCATGTATTGAGAAAGAGAAAACTTCTCACTTACCTTTATCATCACTCCCAAGTTGTTCATGCCACCAAAAAACCACGGAATTCCCTTGAACCACGTATTTAAAAATCTTGCAATTTTATTTGCATATAAAGGCCGCTAGATATAATATCACAATAAATTTAAAGAAACAACTGCTTTTCTAAATTCCATTAACAAGGTAACATAAAACAGAACGAAGCTCAATAGCATTTACAGTGGTGGAACAGAAATAACTATCTGCAACAATATTTTGTGCTAGTGAGATTGCATTTACACACAGTGCAAAATAAGAAAAAGGAAATAAAAAAGACAAGAAGAATATTTAAATATAAAGGACAACTAAGCCTTATTTTATTTAGGCTTGATTGTATCCATTTGACTCTATACATGCCTGAACTACAACAAAGATTTAACTCGGGCTCTTGAAGGCCTTGAGCACTTGGAAAAACGTGTCACATCCTTCATAATTTAGATGTGCTGTACAGCATAATTTTGCAGATGCTATACTCGCAATATTAAATCCTAGCTTAGTTATAATGCACAAAAAATACATATATATATAAATTCATATTTAAAAGGAGTCCGCATTTACAATTTTTCTTTTTTTTTTTTTTACTGCATGAAATACCTGCTCTTTGCAGCTTTCACCCCCAGTCTTTTAAAGCTAAAATAATTTAAAAAAAGAAACAACAGAAGGTAGATATCACACACAGGCTGTGGCTATCAAGATCAGTCTTTATAAAGCAGGTAGAGACAAACTGAGAAGCCTATTTTCCCCTTGCCACATTCTACCATGAATAGAAACAAGTTAAAGTACATGCACACATGTCAAGAGGTAAATGGACCCCAAAACATTGTTTGTGCTACTAAAAAAATTGATATAAATTGAGATAAAAAGCTAACATTTAAACCTAGGGAAAAAGAAGACGCTTAAAAAAACCCCGACAATAACAAAAGTTGTGCAAATTTGGGTGTATTTAAATGCTGCCTATTTTTTAGCTTATAATATAATATTAAAATAAGGTCTCTCACTTATTAAAAGAAAGCTTGGCTGTCCTTTTGAGAACACTATAACAATTTACAATGGCAAATTTATTGGAAAACAAAATTCATTTTACAAATTCACAATGCTTTATCAATTTAAAATGAATGCTGCATTTCCAAAAAGCACAACCTCTAACTTCTCTTCTTGTTTCTTTTGCACCAGCAATTTACAAATTAAAAAAAAAAAAAAAAAAACCAAAAAAACCCCAAACCCCATCCCCCAAAAAAAAACCCCACAGTTCCCCCAAAATCCCCCCTAGCCCCTATTTTGAAATAAACATGAAGGTAAGTTTTTAATTAGAAAATGGCAGTTTATAGACCTTCCCCAGTAGTGCTTCAGGATCCTTGAGGGGTGGGAAGGTCGAAGATGATGGGAGGGTTGGTGGGCTGGAAGCTGACTGTGCACGTGGAGGCGTTGATGTAGGTGGTGTAGCCATCTGTCATGATCCCATAACCTGTGGGGACAAGGGGGCACGCTCACTGTGATGCCTCAGGTTTGGCTTTTCTATTTCTCACATTCTGTGCTGCTTTAGTGTGTGGGTCTGGGCTTCACATGAGGGCATGGTGAGCTCTGTGCACAGAGCAGGGAGACAAAACAATTCCTGCTCCAGCTGGGCACCAAGGACAAATGATCCAAATCTCAGCCCCAAGAGCACAAACCCCGTGGGCTGGAGAGAGAAAAACAAGCAGGATGGGAGTGCAGGGCTGCAGCTGGAATTGGACACTGAACTGCAATGTGCACATGGAGCAGAGCTGATCCCAGGGAGAGACCCCGGGAGCGCTCGTGCATTTTGGGACCATTTGGGTTCATCTTGGGTGCAGCCCTGGCTGGGCTCTTGTGCTGCCCAAGGTGGATCCATGGAGGAGATCCTTTGAATGAATCCCTGCTTTATTCTGTAGCTCTCTGAGACTTCAGGAACTCGTCAGCAGGTTAAAAACACACAAATGCACATGCTCAGGCTGCCCAGGGAAGCTGTGTCTGCCCCATCCCCAAAGTGCTCAAAGCCAGGCTGGACAGGGCTCAGAGTAAGCTGGGATAGTGGAAAGCATCCCTGCCCATGTCAGAGGGCTTGGAATGAGATATCCTTAAACTCCCTTCCAATCCAAACCATTCTTTGACTCCATTATTTAATTTATATATCTATTTTAAAAGAATTTTATAAAAGCTTGAGTGTTTTCAGCTGACATCCACAAAAAGCTAACAAAAAGGCTTGAAAACATCCAGGAAGTATTTGGCCCAAATGTACTTAAAAAAAAAATCATTGAAAAAAAATCCCCAGAGTTTCATGGAGGAAGAAAGCTTCCCATTGCAAACCCACAGAGGAAAAAGGTTTTTTCTTTTAAACCATTATGATACAGTCCAGATCAGTGCTGTCTGAAAGCTAAGATAAATACAGCTACCCACAGTGCCTATCAGAAAGAATCATCACTTCAGAATTGCTGCACTGTCCACCTGTATCACTTTATTTATTTAGACTGGCAATTCTGATTTAGATCATCTCACGGTGGGGAAAACCTTGTTTGTGGTTGTTTTGCTTATGGGGAAAAACCTGCATCACCAAAATGTGTGTATGGCCTCTGCTTGTTCAAGGGAAGGTGGTGCATGTTCATCTCAGCTGGGGTTGGATACAAATTAATTGCATCCTGAGATAATGCTCTTAACACTTTGCTACTTCTTCCTGTACTGAAACAAGCCATTCTTGTGTCTTCTGTGTAAGTACTAGAAATTATTTTAAATTTTTGCTGGTATTTGTACAAGAATTTATTTGAATGCTCACTTGTAATATGTCCTGCCGCCTTTCCCAGGAGATTTAAATGTGGTGCTTTCTCACAGTGATGGTCCTGTACATTCAGACACCCTTAGCACTGTTACAACCTCTCCCACCCTTAGCACTGTTACAACCACAAGTTTCACCACCCAAATTTACAATTTACACATTTCAGCTCGGAATCTTGCCATATTCATTCATTTTTAATATGTGAGGACTAATATTTGTACAAAATACCCAATCTTTTTAATGGGTGCATTAAAAGACTGTTATTTATGCCTCTATGCAGAGGGTCATGTCAGTATTCCCAGTATAAACTCTGTATTTACAGATGGCAGGCATGGAAATCATTGTATGAAGTCACAAGGGCTTCAGAAAAACAAACACCACTGGCAGAGAGAGCTGCCCTCTTTTTATTTTGCTTTTATGAAGTCCTGGAAATCTTTAGGCCTACGGAGAACCTAGTTAGAGACAATGGAGAAATCTCCAGGGGGAGAACATAAAACATTTCATGTGTAATTTTGAGTTCTGGGGTCATGAAGTGTTGCACTGTCTCTCAGGCAGAACTCCTAGTGTTGGTCTCTCAGCCACACGAAAGCCACAGAACTGTATTAAATATTTAAGCATCTCCAGAATGTATTTAATATCCCAGTCTCTTCCACTGCCACAAACTGAGCTGGTTGTTTCTGGAGCTGACACAGGGCTCACACTGCCTGTGCTGGCAAGCACAGAGGGGGAATATCTCCTCTGAAACATGACACTGATGCCTGCCTCGAGATACCCTCCTTTCTGCTTCCCCTTATACCCTGAGGGAGGTGAGCAGAGGCAGCAGGCTGTCTCCACATTTCCTTTTTCTCCTCTAGCATCTTTCTTAGCTCCTGTGCTGGGAGTAATGGGGATAATTTTCATTTTGGCTCGCAAGTGTGGGGAATCTCATCTGTTTCTCTAACCGAGTTTGTCAAAACTTGAATTGCTTTCAAATAACCTGTATGGAACAACCTTTGCAGCACAGTGAAAGATGTAGGTGGCTAAATGTAGCACATATTCCTGAAACAGTCTGCTTTAATTCTGGAATAAATTTACAAAGTGCCACGCAGGCAATCACTTCCCTGAACTCCCTCCCTGCTTTAATCCAATCTGCCATTATCCACAGCAATACTGCAGAAAAAATGTGCCTCTGGAAATCTGAGGTGAAGCAGGGAACAGCTCTGCTCCTTACCTTCATGAATCCCACCAAAGACATGCAGTTTGGGCCTTACTCTCCTCTGCACTGTGTTCAGCAGCTCCACACAGCCCACTCTCTGCAGCTCCTTGGGAACCCAGTCTCGAAAACCTGAAGGCAAAAAAAAGCAATCAGCGCTGTTAATTTCCCCTATTCAGGTGAGGTTTCACCTAGTCTTTCAGGAAGTCATAATTCACACAGGGTTTATTCCATTATCTCCAGTCATAACCTCTCCATTAAAGCACACAATGGCTTTTAAGAAATGTTTCACTTTGTCTTCCTTAAGATTTCCTCCCTCCATCTGCATTAATATTTTTCCTGGATGTCATTTGTTTTTTTGAACTATAGGTTTCTTCCACCTTGAAACCCCAGGGACTGGGCATTGCTGCAGATTTTTTCCTGGCACCGCTGCAGATTTTTCTTCCCTTTCCCCTGGCTCTTACAGCAGTCAGCTCTGTGGTTACTCCAGAAATGAAACAGCTCAGGAAGATGAGCTGAGCCACCCCTCAATCCCAAAGATTTAAAATACAGACTCCCACAGCTTCTGGGGGACCTGGTCTGCAGGCATCAGGTCACTTGTGAGCCCTCATCACCATGCAAAAATTGCGAAACAGCTCTCAACAAGCCAAGTGACCACACTGCCACTTGGTCTTCTGGACAATACAGACAAATGTATGAAAAATCAGTCCCTGCAGGAGCCTGCTGCCTGGACTGGCATGGGAAGTATCAGCAGGGCAAGGGAACGAGGAGGAGTAAAGGGAAATCAGGAGCCACGTCCAGCTGTAGCACCATTCTACTGACTTTAGCAAAAACATGCTGGGACATGAACTTGCCTCAATTTTAGAGTGACCAGAGAGTCCAGTTACAGCTCTACCTCCCTTAATAGTCACTTAATATTAATAAGTAAACACATAATTAAAAAGCAGTGCTTTATCAATGTTATCATGCAGGCTGAGACCTAGAGCCCCTCATTTTAGGGACAGTACTGACACCTAATCTGTGTCTGTCGTTGAGACACAGTGCCAACCTTTTGAAACTGAACTTCATTATCTCCTTCAAACACAGAATTTAAGCAGTCTTATTCAATGACAGCACTCATTATTGTCTGCAGCATCACAGTATTTCTGCATGAGCCCAGCTCAGAGCAGATGGATGAGCAACCCATTTGAAACAGCACCCATGAAACATTATAAACACACTTGGGGTTTTGGGGTTTTTTTGCATCTTTGGGAAAATGAAGTGATTAAGAGAGTGCTGTTCAAGGCCCTGGGTTACAGCATGCTGGCAGCTCCAGCAAGGTTAAAGGGAATTTGCTGCTCTTCTTACAACATTCCCTAAGTAGCATTAAAAAACTAACCAGAATATAAAAGGAGCAGTAAGTACACTGGTCAAAAACTTTCTGGATTTTTTTTCTCCCCTTAGCTTGGATTGCTGACTCTTAACTTAATTGTGGTAAAAAACATAAGCATGCATTAATTCCTGACTCCACAGTCACCAAGAAGCTCTAAAAGAACACTGAGCCAGCCTGGAAGCACTTAAAATGCTGGTTTGTTTTATTGAAATGCCCCATGCAATTCTGAGAAGATTTTACATATTCACTACCACAAATGTACTGAGTGACTGTGATTTGGCCACTTCCTGTGATTGTATGACCCCTTGGGTTGCAAGAACTTCCTAAAACCCTGACAAAAGTCCTAAAACCGTGACAAAAATCACTCTTCTCACAGTAAGGGCAATGAAGACACTGCCCCACTTCCTCATGCTGACAAGTGACATTTGTAAGAGCTCAGCTGCTGTAAACCCAGCTGAGAGAGTTAAACCACAGTCCCAGGCTGCCTGCCACGTGTGTCTGGAGGAAAGGCAACAAAAAATTCATTATTCTGGGTGGGGTGGAGACAAGATAGTGGCACTTCCCAAATGGGTTCAGAGAGGGCTTCAAGGACTTCAGATATGCCAAAACTGAGCACTCCTGCCTCTGCTGGATGAGTGTCCTGGGGTCCTTCTGGGACAAGCAGAGCTCAGTTTAAATCTTAAAACTGAGATCAGCGAATGACTGACACTGACAAGACAAGCAAAACTCAACTAAATGAGAAACTTTAGCTACCTAATGAAGAAACAAATTATGCATTCATAGGCTGGTGCTTACCTGTCATTAGATCAAGTTAGGAACAATTATCTAAGAACATAATCTTATTCCTTCACAGATTTTTTTTTTTATAAGCCAATTAATACCTTTAAAACTATTCTTACATATTCTAAGTTTACAAGGACATTACCAAGGAGAATATGTGACTACATAGTTCCAAACTCTTGACTGCTACTCTCAAACCTTAAAATGACACGACACTGTAGTGAGAAAAGGTTTCAGAAGTTTTAGTCAATCTCTAAAAAGTCATATGGGATTGAAAACGGGTTGTCAGATGAATACTGTTCTTAAATAAAATGTCAAACTATAATGGTTATGGTGTCAGATATTTGATCTTCCCTAGCTTGAATTTAATTTAAAAAATCAAGTTTTTTATGGAAACTCAACGGATCAGCTAAGCCTAATCATCATTTTCCACTTCTTTCAGAAAGTTTTTCAATCCACAGTTTTTCTCTGGGTGCAATTACAGGATATCTTACAGCATTATCAACTTTGCCCACTTTGAAAGTAAAATTCTCACGCAAAGAATCACACAGAACTTTTGTTTCACTTACCAAGGGGAGGTCCATGTGTCATTAGTATATCAATTCCCTCAGGAATAAGGTTCCACTTGTCTAGCAAAGACTGACCTCTGGGTAGATTAAAGCCCCATCCATTAAACCATGGTGTCCTTTGGGGGAAGTAAGACAAAATGCATCAGTGTAAAATAAAAAAATCTTTTTCCTTCTCCAAATTTTCTGAATGAAAACAGTTTCCGTTCTTCGGGATGCCTCTAACACACACTGATTTAAATACATACATATGTTAAAATATACATTTGAATTTAGATTAATGTCTGATGCTGGGTTTGTACTTTGAGTGCGTTCAGCCCTGGGGGCATTTACTCACTAGAGAGAAAGGGAAAAACACTAAAATAACAAAGTCTGAATCTCGAGGTTTTTGTCACAGTTTGGGAATGTTCAAACTCCTTCCCTATGCTAACTAACAAAACAAACCAAACTTTTTTTTTTTGAGGCAAAAATCAATTTCTCCCAGCACAGGGCAGCAGTACCAGTTCAACAAGAGGCTCAATGGGGCAGCACCATCTGTACCACTGTGGCACCTCACTAAAGTCAACCTTGCTCCTTTCAGCACTTTTATTACCAGAACACTGTCACAAAACTGGGGTTTGAACCCCTGAGCCTCCTACAGATACAGGAAAAACATAACAAAAACAATGAAAGAACACATAATAAAAAATAATTAGAGAAATAAACATTCACACAATGTTTAGCCTTACAGTGACTTTTTAAAAGAATCTTATCATTTAAAATTCATTTAGTATTTCTCAAGGAAAACTGACTCCCTCAGTGCTCTCTCCAGCAGAGCACAGAGTTGTTCTGAGACTGGTTTATCCACCAAGCCAAGCACGTAGCAATGAAAAGCACATTTTCCAGTACTTTTTTAACATAGAACTTTTTCAACGCATAATTTTGATACAACTATATCATAATAATGCCTTTCCCTATCAAACAAGTAAACAAAACAATTGCTCTGATGAAATACAGGACTATTTAGATTTGTTACCAATAACCTTTCATACAGCTCTTAGTATTGTACTAATTTTAAGAATTTGCATGTGTGTGTGTGTGTGTGCTTCCTAGAGGTCAGGCAACAGTTTTAGACTTTGTTTTCAAGGTAGGATTCTCCTGTCCTAGCCCAAATTTCTGAAAGTTCTAGGCAGGATTCTCCTGTCCTAGCCCAAATTTCTGAAAGTTCTAGGCAGGATTCTCCTGTCCTAGCCCAAATTTCTGAAAGTTCAGGCTACTCCTGGAATCTTCTGTGTGCTGCAGTTCTGAAAACAGAAAACAAAAACAACAAACCAACTTTGAAAAAACCTGTACCTGTTAAACCAGAGATCACTCGAGTCCTGTGTAATTTCATTATGTAATCTGCCTCCTCTATCCACTAAATTATTCATTTTTCTAGCCTCAAACATGCATTTGAGTGGGAATGCCCTGCTGAGACGACGTCTCTAATTTTTATTTTTGTATAATGAAACATTTTGTTTTGCTGAGACAACAAATTGACCAATGAGGACTGCACCCAGCTCGATGGATGATCTGCATTCCTGACAACTGGCAGTATGGAAAACCAGCAGGCACTGCTAATATAGGGGCAGGAAGGTCACTGGTGCCTTTGTGACAAATAATAGACATATCCCATGTAGTCCTAATGGATAATGCTCACACTACACACACACACACAGGAACTCATTCAAGCTAGCAGGCTTCCTGAATGAACACTGACAAAAGATAGGAAAAAAATTAGATGTTAGTCCAACATTTCATGTGAGCTGTGGGCTCCTGTGTGCCCGGCCACGAGGCTTCACCTCTCACAGCTGCCTTGCTCTGCACCCACCAGAACACCTAAAAACCCTCCTGTGTTTAGAGCAAGGTCTGTGCACCCTGCAGGAGGTGTGTGTGCAGCTGGATTAAAACAGAAGGCTGTGTCTTGGCTTCAGCTACACCACAAGAATTTCTGCTTTCCTAGGACTGGCTTTCCTGAAACACCTATCTAAGTTCCCCTTCCTCTAACACTCCTGGGGTTTAACCTATGGAGATTATTGTAACCTTCAGGGCTGCAGGCAAAAGTTAAAATATCGTTTGGCTAAACATTCAGCTGCTTAAAACAAACAAACACACAGAGCTGGGGTCAAACTTTTCACTGTCAATTAATGATTCTTTCCCCACTTGCATTTCTCCTGCAGATAAGGCTGTAGTTATTACAACATAGTTAAAGCTGAAATGTGAAACCACATCTGTGATTTCTCTGGAGCTCTTCGGAGACCACGACCACAGAAAAAACCTGGATTTGTCTGCAGGATTTTTATTTTATTTCTTCTGAAGCGCTGTGGAAAGAGGAGGAGGGGAACCTGAGCTCAGATATATTCCTCATTCACCAACCTCTGTAATTAGCTGTGACTAACAGGCGCCACATGGGAAGAAAACTTTTGAGAAACCTCCCTCATTATGGACAAAAAAAAGATGGTCAAGTACTTATTTAATATACTAAAGACTTTTATACAAAAGGGGTAAATCAAAGAGAAGAGCAGGCACGAGTGAGGAACACCTGGGTTACAGATTTAGGCTTCAGGCATTTAAAACATGAAACAGTGCAAAATTCCTGACAGCCCTGCATGCTGGCCAGGCAAACTGAGGGTCCCTATTTTGGAATGGGTCCAGGCCTTGCCAGGAAACCAAGCATGTGCTCAGAACACCGCTAAGAAGCCAAAGAGCTGCGGGGTTTGGGTGGGGTCACAGGGAAGGTGAGCTGATGTTTGCTGTGCTGCAGCGAGGATGGGATGGGGTGGGTGTGCTGTGAGCCCAGTGAGGGGCTGGGTACCCCAGCAAACTCCAAATACCTGCAGCAAACACAGCGCCTGCTCTGTGTATCACAGAGGGATATTTTACTCCTGCTGGTGCCTTTTTTTGCACACACAAGAGTCAAATAGAGTCACTCTCAACGCCTAAATAACTTAGAAGAAAAGAGCTGTGCACGGAGTCAGGTGCCTTCTGCAATGTATTTTCAGGCTGATTACTCACTGTGAGAAACCACTTCCCGTCTAGGAAGAAATGTAGGTGATGAACTCTGGCTGCACTGCCATGGTTTAACCCCAGCTGGCAACCAAGCCCCCCACAGCCCTTTTCCTTACCTCCCACTGGGTGGGAGACAGAATCAGAGGGGTAAAAGCACATGTACCCACTCGTGGCAAACTACAATCAGGCACAAGTAATTAACAAAGGCTATTTAGTCATTACCAGCAATATTTCAGACCTGACCTCGTTCTTCTTCCTATGGATCTCGGAGTTAAATATTTCAGCCAATTCCTAAAACTTCATTTTTAAGTATAGCTGGCAACAGCAGGAAGTTATTGGCTGCTGAGTAATGCCACAAGGGAGGTGTGGATGGAAAGCCCAGAGGGACTGGTAATGAGAGATTACAAATGATTTTGTCATTTTAGGTTTGATGGAGCAGAACACGTCCTCACAGCCTGTGTGCAGAGGAACCTAATTGAGGCTGTGCTGCTCAGAACCACACCTCACAGCATTCCCCACGTGCCATCAAACCCCACAGGAATTCCAAATCCACAGGAATTCCTGCTCCCTAACAGCCCAGCCCTCCCTGACCGCAGAGCTTCCTCATCCTTTGGGGAGGGCAGCTGTGCTGGCAGCAGATGTGGCACAGGGAATATCCTCATGGAAGGCAGACACCTGGCCCATCCCTGCTCTCCTCAGCTCCTCATTCCTGCACAGGAATCCCCACAGATCCCCCTCCACCTGGTCTTTTGGAAGCTAGGTTTTCTGCAATTAAAAGGAGGAGGCTGCAAATTATCTTCACACCTCGTGCTGCAAGAGATGCAGACACAGACATCATGCCAGGAGGGAGGGAATGCCAAGCTCGCCAGCAAGACTCATCCTCCTTTTCCAGGTGCACTGGGAGAACCCCTGGACAGGACACACAAATCCATCTGCTTTTAGCAGCAGAGAGCTGCAGCTTCAGCAGGTGATCACATCTCCCTTCTCCCAAGTAAACACTGGACAGCTTTATTATTTTACTGATACATGAAAAAATACCCAAAACAAACCCAAACCAACCTGCTACAGAAGCACAGCCATGGAGCATAATTTCATGACACAAAAAAATCACATGGAGGATCACTTCATAACACAAAAAATCACATGGAGCATCATTTCATGACATAAAAAAATCACATGGAGCATCATTTCATGACACAGAAAATCACAACTGCTCCTCGGTGCATTCACCTCAGAAGCAACACTACCACATGAGGAAAGGGGACACAAAGCCACGGCCAAGTTCACCCAGGTAGCACAGAACTGTCAGCTCCTTCTGCACCTTTAACGCTTTTGAAGGGTGGTAACTCCTACAACCTACTTTCATCTCTTCTCTGATTCATGAATTTAATTACCTGATCCTCAGAGTCCAACAGCTCAAAAGGTAAATGTACAGTGAGACCTTCTAGATTCACATTTTCCTCTTAACTCCACCAGTAAATCCATTTATTTCAATAGTTACTTCTAAACAGGATTAGAAAAATGAATTATCTCATAGGTCGTTAATCCCACGTATTCATTCATTTTTAAGGCTACCCAGTCTTTTAGGACAGCTTCAATTTTATCTTTAATCCAATGAGTAAAGTACACAGGAGGCACAAATCTCAGCCAGCCTCCTTCCACAGGATAACAGCCAAGGGAGCATCTAAAAGGCATCCCAGTGGGAGGCACTTCCACACCACCAATAACAATAACAAAATGCTCTCTATTTTTATCAGCATTCAAAGGGAGCACACAGCCCTGGCTCACGAGGGGGGAGACAGCTCCAGCAGCAGAACAGAACTGGTGGGACAGGCCATGGATGTGCAGCCCTGGATCGATTCTGGGAGGAGGAGGAGGAGGACAGGAGAAGGAGAAGGAGAAGGAGAAGGAGAAGGAGAAGGAGAAGGAGAAGAAGAAGGAGAAGGAGAAGGAGGAGAAGCTTTCAGTGCTCCCATGGCCCAAGGGCACACACACAGGGTTTGCCAGAGCCAGCAGCACACACTGCCCAGTGGGAATGCACACACAGGGGCAGGGACAAGGGCAGGAGAGGAGAGCCTGGGGCATCATCCAG